GTTGCAGCACTCTGCAAAACCTGGACGAGAAGACACCCATCGATGTAGCCAAGCTCAACAACCAGCTCGAGGTGGTGAAGCTACTTGAGAAGGATGCTTTCCTTTGAGATCTTAAGCTCATATTGTCTTTAAGAGATTTATCTTTTGTGTGTCCTGAACCATTTTCAGACTTTTTTGTATACTTTTTTTTTCTTAATTTACTTTGTGTTTTATTAATTCCCCTCTTCTTCTACATTGTCTCTTATGTTGTTTTTCATTTCATTAAGCCAATAAAGAAAGAAAGAGCAATTCATGTTTTAATTTATGGTTTATTGTAATGATCTATTTTGCTTTTTGCATTTTGATTTATTTCTTGTAGATGATCTATTTTGCTGAAATTACTTGTGTAAAAATCTATGTTTTGGTATTGTGATTAATTTAAGAATCATTTTTGGTATGGAAGATGTGCAAGCCCAAAACAACTTGATATCAAAGTGATTCTATTCTTGGGTTGTTCCAAATTTTCCAAAGTCTCAAGCTTTTAAATATAAAAATCACATTTTTACAATAAAGTATAATTATTATACAAAAGGAACAAAAACCCCTAAAGGTTTAGTCTTTGTGTAATATGTCTTATTCATTCTCAATGAGTTGTATGAATCGTTCAAGGTTTATTATAAAGTCTCTGATAAGCAAAGCTCGAAGCTTTTCACGGCTTCGATCCTCTCTCTCTCAGCCACCGTCTCTCTCCGCCACGTTTTCTTCATCCGCCGCCATGAACGGCCTCGAAACCCACAACACAAAGCTCTGTATCGTCGGTAGTGGTCCGGCTGCTCACACGGCGGCGATTTACGCAGCTAGGGCTGAGCTAAAACCTCTTCTCTTCGAAGGATGGATGGCTAACAACATCGCTCCCGGAGGTCAATTAACAACAACCACCGACGTCGAGAATTTCCCCGGATTCCCTGAAGGTATTCTCGGAGCAGAGCTCACTGACAAATTCCGAAACCAATCGGAACGATTCGGTACTAAGATCTTCACGGAGACGGTGACGAAAGTCGATTTCTCATCGAAACCTTTTAAGCTATTCACAGATTCAAAAGCCGTTCTCGCCGATGCTGTGATCGTCGCTACAGGAGCTGTCGCTAAAAAGCTTAGCTTCGTTGGATCTGGTGAAGAAAGTACCGGAGGTTTCTGGAATCGTGGAATCTCCGCTTGTGCTGTTTGCGACGGAGCTGCTCCGATTTTCCGGAACAAACCTCTTGCGGTTATCGGAGGAGGAGATTCCGCCATGGAAGAAGCTAACTTTCTAACGAAATACGGATCGAAAGTTCATATAATACATAGGAGAGATGCTTTTAGAGCTTCTAAGATTATGCAACAGAGAGCTTTGTCTAACCCTAAGATCGATGTGATTTGGAACTCTACGGTTTTGGAAGCTTATGGAGATGGAGAAAAAGGTGTTCTTGGAGGATTGAAAGTGAAGAATGTGGTTACTGGAGATATTTCGGATTTGAAAGTTTCGGGTTTGTTCTTTGCGATTGGTCATGAGCCTGCGACTAAGTTTTTGGATGGTGCGGTTGAGTTAGATTCTAATGGGTATGTAGTGACTAAGCCTGGTACTACGCAGACTAGTGTCGCCGGTGTTTTCGCTGCGGGTGATGTTCAGGATAAGAAGTATAGGCAAGCGATCACAGCTGCAGGAACAGGTTTAGTTCTCTGCTTTAACTTAGTCTCAAAATGTTGCAATAGTGTTTCTGGTAAATATGTTAGTTATGTGGGAAATTGTTCGTATCAATATAGAACTAGTCGAAGATGTTTTCAAAAGGTGTTACCTTTGTGGTCTTGAAGTTTAGTTACTTGTATATAAAGTGAATCGAGTAACAATTTGATGCAAGCGTTGGAGTTAGTTTTCACTGAGTGTGTTGTTCCATTGCTTAAGGAGAGATCTTGAATCGTTTGGTTCTCGCTCTGTTTTAGCTCGGTTTATAGAGAGGATCAATCGTTGTTTGATTGATTGTGTAGGGTGCATGGCAGCTTTGGATGCAGAACATTATTTACAGGAGATTGGATCTCAACAAGGTAAGAGTGATTGAGAAATGGTCAAGATCAAGCATTGGTCATAGAGCTACTAATTGTTGATGGTTTGGACCAGAATGAGATTTGATTTGTTTATTTCTTACTATTGTTTGCATTTGGAGTTGTATAGTTGCGACAAAAAGCCGTATAGATTTGTTTCTCAGATGATTGCTTTTACATTATACACATTCCATGAACATGATTTATCCAAAACTACTACTTTTATGAATGCAAACTAAAATATTCGAATGAAAAGTGGTTTTTTCAGAAATCTACAAGACATGGAACCAGAGCTTCTAGAGAGTTTTTCAAGTTGGTATTATGGTCACAGAATTTTATGAGGAAAAGATTTTGAAGTTTCAGAGATGCATCCTATACAACCAATTCAAACTCCATAAACAGAGTCAGAATATAAGCAATGAAACACACACTCGACGAACACTAAATCCAACGAAAAGAACATTTTATTCCATCAATTGTTAATTGAATCACATGATAAACCATGTCAAGGTTTGAAAAAATAGAAAACCTTATCCGAATAGAACACGAATTCCATCCCGAAAGGCAGCCAACTGAGATTTATAATAATTTGCAGGACATTTAACCTTATCCTTGATCACAATCGAGACATTATTATGGTCTTGAGGAAGAGTCTGAGCCATTTGAAGCAACTCCTCAAATTTGTCTGCATCAAGGTTATCCTCCAAGCGAACCACCAATGTCTCTATTGTCTTTGTGTTTCCCAGCACTAACTCGATGAACAAAGCGATGAGTTTTGGCTCCGAAGAGGTCGGAAAGACATCAATTTTCGAGCCTCGTGAATCGATATAGGTATACTTCTCCTGTGCAAAAATGTTGTTTTCAATATCTCAGATTTTTTTTTTATATATGCATTGTTCCTAGCTACTTGTTCATCATCTTGTATGATATGTAAGAAAGTGAAAGAAGTTGATGATATGATAAGTACCTTTACATTAACAATTTTGCATTTCTTCAAGTATAGTGTTAGCTTCTTTAACTCAGGTGAATTTTGGAGCAGTTTTGCAATACCGGGAAGACCACGGAGCTCGTCGTTATTAGGAATAAAAAATCTGAGAATCTCCACTTCAAGAGTCAAAGATGTGATCTTGAGCATCGGAAAAGGAACACCACGGAGCTCGGCAAGAGATAATACCTAAGTAAAGGATAGTGATTACGAAAGCAAAAATTGATACTAAAAAATAACAAAAACCGCTTATCAGTAATAGACACATTAACTAACGTTTTTAAAAAGGACAATTCTCGCAAATACCACTAAATGAAGTTTTGTATCCAAAAATATCTCAACATGTCACGTATCAATCAACTTATCATCATACCTCAAGAAATCTTGACCCCAAAGTAAGCTTCTCTACGTTGTGCAGTTTTGGTAACACGTTTAGATTAATGACATGATGAATAAAATCAGCCATGGTCTCTTTGGAGGAGTCGGACACGTCAAGTTTAGCTTGTGTTAAAGACGAGACATCATCCAAACGACATGGTGTTGTGGTAGTTGTTCTCAATCGCAAATAATGGACGTGTGGCGCTACAATCTCTGTTGGCCCTGAATACGAATTATGATGATCTATCTCCAGCCTTGTCAGATTCAAGGATTCACTAAGGTCAAGACGTCCAAGCATCTTACAGAAATTCAATGTCAAGCTTTCGAGAAGTGGACATCCAGAAAGAATCTTAGCAGCAGACTCGTCAGGGATTATACAACCATCCAAGCACAAGGTCTTAAGTGATGGCCACAACACTGTGGATCTAGGGATCAACGTAGTGTAAGTGTGGAGTACCAAGGTGAGTCGCTTGACAGAGGAATTGACATAGAAGATATCTGGAATGATATACTTTGGGTAATGATAAAGAAGCAAATCCAAAGACAGATTCTCTGGATGGTGGGAATGAACATAATCGATCCATGTATCAACAACGAAAAACTTATGGCCGGTGAGAGCACTGGAAAACTCGAGCCATGCAGCATCGAAGCGAAAACAAATATGGAAACTCAAGAGTTTGGGAGCCGTGTGGTGAAATAGGGTTTGGCTTACAAAGTCAAGTGACGACTCATCTACCTCGCATTCTAGGGAGAGACAAGGTACCTCGCGCCAAATATGCCTCCATCGTTTGGACAAAACGCATGTTTTGGTTGCCAGATTGGTCGGAACAAAGGAGAGGATATGGTGCAGGATCTCGTCTGGTAGAGAACTGATGAAATCCATTGAATCTCTCTCTGGGACATCATCATCATCTGCCATGCCCGACTATTCTCCTTTATGTATCCAAACTATTGACCTAGGTTTATTTTTTTGGTATATTTAGGTTTGGCCTGTGGAGAAGAAAGTGAAACACATGACTTGATTAAAAAATAAATTACCTTGGCCCAGTCGATTATCTAAAGAGGCCCATGTTGTTTATGCATTGAGTTTTACTTTCATCACAAGTAAATGTACATTTTGTCTCTTGTTCGTGTCTTTTATTTCTCTTTTAAGAAAATAAATTAAAAATGGGTTAATTAGCTGAATAT